CCAGTGCCCTTTGCCTTCCCTTATCCCTGCCTGGGACATGCTGCCCCTGACCTGCTTGGCTCAGGTCCCGCAGGAGCTCTGAACCCAGCCAGGAAGGACCAGCCCTGGCAGCTAGGAGTCATGCCCCACCGTGCGTGGGTGGATCTCGTTCCTTAACGTGGGGCCTCCTTAAACGGCCGCCTTCTAGGTTGTAGTCAAGCCTTTGCGAAGGGGGGCTGTGGTGAATCTTCCCACCACCCCTCTACCATCTTGACTTATCAAGATAACAGCTAGGAAAAGGTCCTCCTCTGAAGCTGTGAAATGCCATTGCCACCTTGAGGTGGACCTGCAGGCTTGGGTGAGATGAAGCAATTATCTGTCCATTAACTTTGCTGAAGAGCCTCGTACTGACTGGGCAGAGCCAGCAGAGCAGAGCGGTGATTTCCCTCCCAAAGCTGAGAAGGCAAATTGCTCATGGCTCCTCGTGGTACCCGAGAACCTAGGACCGAGCTCCCAAAGTGAGTGGTGATGCACATGGGGTGGGAGGACCATGACCATCTCTGAACATCCAGGGTTCCCCTCAGCAGAGCTGGAGCCAGGCCACCCCGGTGCTAGGAAGGAGATGTGTTTACCGGTGGCTAGTTAACACCTCGTTAAACGCTGGCTGTTGCTTTGCTGGATGGAGCTGTAAAAATTCCCACTGTCTCTGCTGGGACGACAGCCTTTCGGCTACCTCATTATAAATCTCATGATTAACGCTAGGTTTTCACCCTGCTTATATGCGGCCCCATGAGGTGGAGTCCTACCTGTTGCCCAACAGATGCTTCCCAGCCGGCTCCCCCTCTAGGTTCACACCTCGTGGTTTCGCAGCTGCCTTTTTTTTTTAATGTTTCTTTACAATTTCAGGTAGCGTTGCTTCAATAGTAAACGAAGGAGGGGGATCGGGAAAAATAATAATCAGGAAAAGTTTCAGGAAAAAGAAACCCCAGACGTATTCCTCTCTTTATGAAGAGCTTGCCCGGCTGCTATTTGACTTTAACCTACTTTGTATAATTTAACCTGGGCTATTAGCAACAGTCACAGCGAAACCTTGTTTCGGCAGAGTTGGGTTTTCTCAGTGTGCCACAGAAACTCCCTAAAAGCGCCACGAGAGCCGATGGTTGTGTGCGCGCAGTGCCGCCTGCTCCGCTGGCTTTCCCCTGGCCTGAGTGGCTAGTGGCGAGCGCGTCTGCTCCCCTGCGAATAATTAAACTAATAGCGAAGTATTTGCATCTTCCAGACATTAAGCCTTCCCTCTGAGGAACCTTAGTCAAGTTAGGTCATGGTGTTGGTGCAATATTTTTGGTGTTAGGAGCGGGAATGAGGAGATTAACCCCTAATGACTCTCTGACGTTAATTAACGAGCCAGGGAGACCAACGGGAGGAGATTAGTGCCATTGTTTCAGTCTCTGCTGAGTCAGCGCAATGTGCCTTGGTTTATCTCCCCAAACTTACCTTTTTTTTCCACCGCTGGCTGGTTTTCAGGGACCCACAGCAGCTGGAAGCGTGATTAGTGAAGGCACCACATGGGTACGACTTTGTCACACCAGGGAGGGCCTCCCGTCTCCACCCAGGATATTAGCTGAGCGCAGGAGCAAACACACATGCGGCCCCACAGAGAGGTGCTCGTAGCCTAAGCGCATGTGCTTGCGGACGTGGCTGGACAAGGGTCCCTGCCTCTGGAAGGTATCCTGCGCACAGGCTTTGCTTTAAGCCCTGAAGCCAAGCTGTCCAACGTCTGTGGCAGTCCCAAACCGTGCACGTTAAGTCACCCACCTGATCGCAAGGGAAGCGTGAAGGTTTCACCCAGCCAGAATCTCCCAAATGCTTTCACTTTTCATTTTGAATATCTCCCAAGCATTTTTTAACACAACAATAAGCCATCCTTCCTTATTTTGTTTTCTGTTAATCTTTGTCATGTCAATGCCTACTCACCCTGTCCTCTTCCATCCCTTAGTTCACCACCGGCACCTGTAACGATGCTACGGTGCATAGCTGCGAGCTGTGTGGCAAAGGCTTTCGCTTGCAGCGGATGCTCAACCGTCACATCAAGTGTCACAGCCAGGTGAAGAGACACTTGTGCACCTTCTGCGGAAAAGGCTTCAACGACACCTTTGATCTGAAAAGACACGTCCGGACCCATACCGGTGAGAACACGTTCCCCGGGGGCTTGCGGGCAGCTCTGGGTAGGTGGGAGAAGGGGTGAGATGGGACAAGGTTGGGGGGTGAGGGTAACCTGGCAAGACAATACTACAAAACCCAGGTAAACAACATTTGCAAAAAATAGTGGGGATGTGGTGGAGGAAAGGAAAAAATATGAGTGGACAGATAAAAGCCCTGGGATTAACGAAATCTGAGGAGAACTAATGAAATCCGTGTGAAGCAGTTTGGTGCATAAGCTGCCATCCAGGTCCGGTGTAGATGTGGCCGCGTGCTGCTGTGCCTGGCTCAGCGAGACCAGGATAACCCACCCGGGATAACCCACCCGGGAAAATTCACTGCACATTATTGCAAGTCTGGCATGTACCAGTGAGCACGGGCGGGCAGTGGATGAAAATGCTTTGCCCTCTAGAGGCAATGAGCAGCAGTTTCTTGTTTTTTTTGCGAACCTTCCCTGCTGGCCGTCCCACAGGATGGGGTTATGGCTTGATTTTGGCACCGTCTGGAGAAACCAGTGTGTGGTTCATGCTGTGCGTCCAGCTTCTTTAAGAAAACTAGGCAACACATCTAACTTCTGCTAAGCCTGCGTGCTGCATCCCTGCCTGCTTCAGGCTACCACCTCCCCCAATCCCCTTTCGGAGCCGTTTCCCTCTGCCCGTCCAGCCATCCAGATCAGTTTGGCCACCAGCCTAAACCAACTCTTGCCATGCAGGTCACAGCATGATTGAAAATCAGGGGCAACGCGTTGAAAATCTCCTGACAGCAGTTCCTGTAAAAGGAAGGGGGGGTAAAAAGTTGCCTTTAACCTGGACTAGTTCCCTCTTCCCTGCTTGCATCTACACCAGATGTACAGGCATAACCGAGGATGCTGTGATTTAAGCCCACGATGACACTGGAAGAAAGAAAAATCGTCCCTTCTCCCTTCTCACTCTTGCTGCCCAGTTGCTCCCCTGGGCTGGAGGGATGCCCTTTCTGTGGCCACTCTGCAGTGGGGTCGGTTCCTGAGCCCACCCCAAACACCGGCAGTTGTGTTTCTTTGAATCAGATCGGTTGCTTCAAATCCAGCTTACTGGTCACAGAAGTGCTTAACCTAACCTGGAGCAGGGAGAAGGCCACCTTTTTGTTTCTTTTTCTTCTTTTTCTTAGTGGAAGTGATGGCTTAAATCCCTATCAACCCCATCCTCACCAAGCAAGACGCTTTCTGGCAGGCCAAGCTGGCTGTGCTCAGGAGGCTTTGAATTTGCGCTGTAGGGCACCCGGAAGATGCATCCACCACATCTGCCAGGCACGTTCCAGCTTTCCACGTTTGCGTTACCTGTGGGACCTGCCGATTATTTGGACTCGCTCTGCAATGTCCCTTTTTTGGCTTAGGCACCATTAACCAGGCGCACCTCTAGAGGCGACGCAAGTATGTTGGTGGGCAGGAGTTGTTTCTCAGCAATAGAGCTCACAAAAACAATGCTGCCCATTTCGATGGGAAAGCATTGGCCGGAGCCAATGTTTTGGACTGTTTTGGTTTGCTTGCAAGGCTTTCATGTGGAAAGGAAAGCTGCTGGCTGCGAGCAGGGAGCTGCCGCTGGTGTGTGGCTGAAGTGTGGAGTCGGTGCTTCTGAAAGAAGTGATTTTTCAACCTGTCCCCTCATCCTTTGAGATTCAGAAACTAAATCCAAGAGGGTCTCTGTTCAGAAGCTAAAAATACGTGTATGTTGTGGCAGGTAGGGTTGAACTGGCCATGCAGGAGTGGAGCCAATTCTGCGAAACTCTGGAAGGGAGGAAGGATCTTCATACTGGACAGGAGTGAAAACCCAGTCCTGGAAATGTGAATCTTACGGTTAGATTGTCCCCAAATTTACTAGAAGAAATCTGGCGTTACTATTTCTCCTCTCCAGTGTAAAGCCAGGATGAACACTCACATATATTGTATTTGCCTGGTGCCTTGGCTCATGGAAGGGGATGAAGGCTGGCTGATAGTGTTTCGGCATGTATCTTTTCCAGGCTGAAATATGGCATCTCTGAAAGCGGTGGCCTTTTTTATGTCAAAGTTGATTGCTGTTCAGGAAAGCTGGGCTATATTTGAATGTTAAAAAGTAGACAGATAAGCTGGAAGTGGTAGTCTTGGCTTTATTTTGTAGCTACGGGTGTTCATCTACATGTGCTTCACTGAATTTTGGTGTTCCAGTGGAAATTGTTGTGCAGTGTTTGTAACCAGACTGTGCAACAGTAGGGTAGTGTCAGACAGAGTGAAAGCCAAATGTCCCAGTCTAGCTTCATGGCATAAGCAGACTTAAACATTAAAAAGTAACTAATATACACAGTAATATCAAATTTTAAAATGATTCCTAAGTAATGAACAGGTTCACACAGCCCTGATGGGCTGTGCCATCCTGGTACTACCCCTCTTGTGCTCGCACTGGTGCCTGTGGAGCACTGTTGGCATCAGAAACCAAGGATGGGTGAAGGTTTAAATTGCCTTCAGATGAGCACGAAATGGCACCCAAAATACTCTTTGTAAAATATACATTTTTGTGTGTGAATTCTAATGAAGATTTGGAGTCTCTTTCCAATTGCAGTTTAATGTAACTGAAGCAGTCTCACAGCAGCAGTAGGTGTTAGGAAACTTTAGTCTTGATAGTTTAAGCCAGTGCACTGGGATAACCTCTTTTTACAAGACTTGCAAAAATGCAGTCAAGATGCTGCTTATTGGAACTTCTAATCTGTTTGGATTTCTGGTAGAAAGATCAGTAGCTGAGAGGTGAACTTAACACAATCCGATTAAAAGTTACAACTGTCTGTGTGAACGTGTGTGCTTTGCCCTTTTTTGCCTGGCTATTACTCACCATAGGTCCAATCTTCCACACACTTGCGTTTTACCTTTCACTGGGAAAAGAGAGGCATTTAGGTAACTCCTTGCATCAGTTTTAAGGCTGGTCCTTGCTTGAAAACTTACTGAGCTAGTCTAGTAAGTAAAATCACAACTTTTTTAGTTTTTTTCAAGTGTCGATAAACCCTCAGCTATTTGTCATTCAAGTACTGGGAGGTGGTTGTTCTTAAATCAGTGCTGATCGGTGGTAAAATGGATACTCTTTACGGCTCAGTATTTTTATAATGTTGGTTGTCTGTACTGAACAAAACTGCTTGGGCATTCAAATCACAAGCCAGCCCCTTCTCCCTCCTCTGGAGACACACATACTTATTTCTTTCATCTTTTCTAGATGAAAGAAATACACTTCTTTTCTAGAACTTGAGCTTGTAATCTCAATCATCACATCTATAGTCTATGAAAACGTTCTCACTCATTTGAAGTACTGTGATTGCTGTGTGTTCATGTTGGGCTGCCGTTCACTGAAGCCTCATTAAGCTTTGCTCACTAAAAGAGAAAAATTAACATCTTACTGAGAGACAAGATTTCATTCATTATAAAAGCCAAAATGAAAGGTTAGCTGAAACTGATAGTTTTACCTAATCACAGGACTTCAGAAAGTCAGGGCCGTAAAGGAGTAAGTTTTGCAAGAGTGGGTAACGGCTTCTTCTTTAGGAGCAAAGTGCCGATGGGCACCTGTTATCCTCAGTATCTGCCTACCTCTTCTCGAAACATTTCTAGGTTTTCTATTCCTAAATATATCAACCCATCCCTGAAAATTTTAGCCTGAAAGTAAGATGTTTTATTTAGGCAGTTAGTTCCTTGGGCTAGTAGCTCCCTGCTGCGAGGTATTTGCTTAATATGTGGTAGGCCAGAGCCTTGCTCTTAGCCGGTTCCTTAGTTGGCTGTAAGAAACACAAATCAGAATAGTAATCGCTGTCTTTTAATGTTGCAGGAATTCGTCCTTACAAATGTGAGGTTTGCAACAAAGCCTTCACCCAGCGCTGTTCCCTGGAGTCCCACCTTAAGAAGATTCATGGCGTGCAGCAGCAATACGCCTACAAACAGAGGCGAGATAAACTTTATGTGTGCGAAGACTGCGGCTACACGGGCCCCACGCAGGAGGACCTGTACCTGCATGTTAGTAACATTCACCCCGGAAGCGCTTTCCTGAAAAAAACCTCAAAAAAACTTGCAGCGGTTTTGCAAAACAAACTGAGCCCTGTCCTGCAGAGGAACTCCAAAGATGACGACAAAGATGAGTAACACAGTGGATTACAGTGGTCTAAAGGAATGAAGTTTACATGTAGGACTATATATATATATATTATTTTTTTAAAAACAATTTTGAAAGAAATCCCTGAAATGAAAGGGATGCTTTTGTTAACGGGACTCTCTTGATATTGGTAAAACCTCAACTTGAAAGAAATATTCCCGTATATGATGCAAACATCAGACCTTTTTATCTGGCCAAAAAAAAAGAAATGGAAAACTTGGAAGAGGCTGTCACCTCTTGGATGGAGTATTTACTGAACTGACATTCAGGCAACCTGTTTTCTGTTTCAGTCTACCACACATCTGAGTGGCCACTGACAAATAAGTTCACCTTTCCCCAGTGTACTTTGTAAAGATAATAACCATTACCTCCCGTACAAATTACTTTTGAGAGGTTTGGGTGAAAAGTGCCGTGTAAGAGCAGCTACTAGTACATTGTTCTATGCAAAATGAATTAAAATGGACTTGAGAACAGGAGTACACTGTATTGGTAAATAAGATAAAATGTGCAAATAACCTTAATTCTGCCCCCTGTGCAGTACACTAACAATTTATGGAAGCATGATCCAAGGTGAGCTGAAACTTTTTTTAAAGGATGCAGAACTTTTTTCTCCCAAACTTTCTCTACTAGCAAATGGCAATTTTCCAGGGCAGACTTAACGGTCGTGTTTTAGGTACTTTAAGCTGTGAACTTACTTTTATCATGTTTAGATTTAAGTATAACCTTAACTTGGATGTTCCTGGACTTGTCATGCTCACTTTGGGGTTTATTACCACATCCTTTTAACATATATCAATATCAACCCAGAAACCCAAAGAAAACACTTTAATGACTTGAAGATATGTATTTTCTGTCATGATGAAATGCAATTTTGTGTGTATTTTATGGTGTGTATGTGTGTGTGTGTTTGTTGGGGGGATTTTTTTCTTTTTAATGATCAAGTACCTGTTCACTAATACTACAGAGCAGTGCAATGCAGTGAAGAGGGAGACTTACCCTGTCTCTGCCTCATGAGATCAATGCAAAACTGGAGGCACGAATCTGGCCTCCTATCTGTAACCACTGTCAGTTTAGAAGGCTCCTAGTGAGACTGATGCTACAAGGGAAGGAGGTGGCAAGGATGATGAGGAACTAGTACTATGTCTCTGTGCTTTTGGACTTCCCCTATAGTCCTACTTCAGCTCCTTTTGACCCAGGACAACCAAGTGTTGTGAATTTAGGGATTTAAAAAAAAGGGGAGAGGGATGCCCATAACTGATGGCGCTGAAACCACCTCATACTTTAAGACTCTTCAGAAGCTGCTGCAGCCTTTACTGGGCACTTGGGTGTCTACGTTAGGAGCGACAGGGTCGGGGGGTAACTTCCTCAGCAACCACAAGGTACTCTGGTCCAAGCGCATGTTATTCATCTGTCTCAACTTAATGGACACAGCTGCTAAACAGGTTTTACGTCAACTTAAATGCATAACAGTTAATGGATTTCATTTGTAAATTCCAAAAATCTATTTTGTGCTCAAAATAAAGCTGTACATTTGGGGAGGATATGCTGTATTCTATATATATTGAAACAACAGCTGAAAAGTAACCCACCTAAAATACAGAATCATAGCCAGGACCTTCATAGTCATTACTACTAAAATGATAGATTCTGAGCATCTCTGCAAGAATCGTAAAAATCTTCTCAATTTGCCTCAGTTTTGTACAGGCATCTGCTTGGGTTTTTGTGGGGAAAAGCTTCTAGGGGTTTTAAAGCATTTCTAATGATATTAATACTTTATTCAGCACAACTGTCGGTGCTTGGGACCTTGGAAACGAGGATAATAAAGTGATGCTACTGTGTAAAGAACAAACTTGTCATCCTATGTAACGGGAAAGTTTGCAGAATACTTTAATGGAAGTTCATGGGTAAAAAAGCATCTAAGGTGAATTAGAAGATCCTTACTTTGGAAAAAGAGCTAAAGCCTGTGCACTGATCCCCAGTTCTTCTGAGATCATGCCATTATAACCAAATAGTATAAATGGAAGGTTGCTTACTTTGATCGAAGCTTGCATAATTGCAAATACATTGACAAAATTGCCTGGCTAAGAAAAGCGTTAACAGCTGGTTCAGCTAATTGTGCTGGCGACACTCCCCTCAGTGAGGTCTCAGTCATGAAACAAAACTGTTGGGTTGAGCGCCTAGGTGGGACTGTGGAGTAGAGCCCATCTGAGCAAAGTAACTAGCGTTCACCTAACTGCAAAGGATTTGTGTGCTTAGCTCTACTGAAACCTCAGCCCTTACACTGGAGCAGTGGAGTTGCAGCTGAAACCCTCCCTATCTAGCTGGAGACACATTTTTTGTGTGTGTGCGGGGTTTTTTTTTTCTCCTCCCCAATTGCTTTTGATTTCCCTCCAATATCGCTGCCAAAGCATGTCCCTGCTAAAAGAACTACAGACACATTAAGGTGGTTCATCTACGTGATCTCAGTCAAAGAAAGCGTTCACTGCAACAGAGAAAAGCAGCAGGTAATAGTACTCAGAAGGAAAACTGCTTTGGACAGAGAGCAAAGCTCTGACAAACTGGATGGTATAGCTGGAGTAACTGCCCTGATTGTCTGGCTGGTTTTTCTGCAGAGGACAGATACACCCTGTAGCAGATGCCTTGGGCATGTCAATTTAACAGTCTGGCAAGTTAGTTTAAAGTGATCACAAAGTGGGTTTGCATGACATTGGCAATGGCCATCTGCCAGTTCTGTTACGGGACAAAACTGGCACTAGCTTGTGCCTGTACAGAAATGTTCCAGTGCTCACACAGGGATGCCGGAGGCAGCCAGACTTTCAGAAGTCCTAGACACCAGTAACTTCCACCGCTACTGTCTTTGAAGGCTGCCTGCCTTCTCCTAGCTCTCTGATGGTACAGACTCATCAGAGACTTAAAGATAGGTTTACAAACTAACATTGCTAGTGAAGCTGGCAGCCTTCCTCAGACACAAGGCTTTTGTTAAACAAATGAACACAGGTGAAGCGAACAGGTGCCCACACTGCCCAGGCTCCAGACTTGTCCTTATTTACCGGAGGCAGGATGTCACTGAAATCTTACACGGTTCAGAGACATCTAATGGCTGTATGATGCACTGATGAAGAAGGCAATTGCACCCAAACATTGCCCAACTGTTCCACGCTCTCTTGATTTATCCAATCCCAATCAACGCAGGGAATTCGGCACGTTTTATCACCTCCTGCTTCTGCCCAGGGCATCTTACGTCTTGCTTATGCCCACCCTCTTTGTATTCATGGAGCTATCTTTCACAGAAAATTGACCATGTTCAGTAACGTTGAACCACCCACTTGCTAAAATTCTGTGATGTGGGAAGATACTTGTAAAACAGGTAGAACTTCTGAGCGCTCACGCAGCGTCGTCGTGGTTAGTCATCTCTAAACCCAGTTTCTCAGTCTCTATGTTTGTCTTTTTAGATAGAAATCTAATTAAGCACAGAGTAATCATACCATCACCAGACTAGGTTTGAATAAGCAAGTACCACTATAACCAAGTTTCATTGCACAGGTTTCCACAGTTCAGTACTCTGAAGGAGCAGAGATTAAGCACTATAGAGGTTTAAGTTTCTTCAGCAGCAAGCCTGCCCATTGGTGTTTTTAGGTATGGTTCTGGCTGATTTTCTTGAAGCTTATGGGTTGGCTGTATTTTTATTTGTAATCTGCAGTGTTATTATGAAAACTCATACATACAATTCAGAGAAAACAAAGAGAATGAGGAAAAAAGCTTTCCAGGTGTGCAACACACAAAGCAGTATCGCCTGACATCATCAAGGCTTATTCATAAAATCAAGCCTATAGACAGAGAAACAAGCTTCAAAAATAAGTATTCTGTTTTAGAACATCTATTCACAAACTTATTTGAAAAAAAAAAACGCACCCCCTCAAAAAACCCCCAAAACCCCAGTCAGCAGCTCTTCATTCCTCAGAAGGCCAGGCTTCTGAAGTCACAAGCCTGCTTTTATAAAGAAACTTACTCGCGTTGGCAAACGCTATAACTTGACACTGGAGATTGTTCCACGTGGGTAGGCTCCTTGTCCACTCAGACCCACACCAAAGTCAGGAGAGCTCAAGATAGTTGCAGACTTGGCCCGCCCAGAGACTCACAACCTAAGGCACAGAGCCCGCTTACACTCTCACAGTTCTTTTATGTGGGCTATGCAGCCTGTTAAGAAACCTGCAGGAGGAGCCAGTAGAAGTAGTCAAACTTCCTACCTTTCAGAACACTTGCTGGAAATTTCTAAGTGCATAGGTTACAATTCTGCTCCTCTTTTGCTAGGCCACTTCTTTTAAATGATCACTTTGCCTTAGTATTTTAAGTAAATGCTCATGAGAACTCTGGTTATAATTCTTAGCACAGTTTTTCCAGTTGTTGCTGTAAGAAAAGCCACAAATAGTAACTAGCCTGTTAATAGATACCTTTGAGATGAGCAAGAACTAAGCTGACTGAAACCCAGTCTACTAAATTCATTTGTTTATCGTTTGCATTTCTCTCAGCTCAGACAATGCAGATGTCATTTTGCTTTAGTTCACCAACTTCATTTTCAAAGTCTCAGTTCTGCAACAGTTTTTTTCTCAAAAATGACAAAAGAAGGATGATTTGATTGAACAGTTTTACTTGATAATAGAAACTTTCCTATCAACCTCAGGTTGTATAAACTCTGTGGGGAAAAACAGATTAAGTCGGCTTTGTCCTGCCAGGTCCACTTAAGTCACCTACAATGTAAGCAAATACACATTCCCCACTCCAATTTTTCTTCGGTTTTTTTTGAGGGGGAAAAAAACCCTGATACTAAGAAATAGCCAAAGTTACTCAAAAAAGAATACGTATTCAAATGGAAGATTTAAACAAAGGATTCTTGCTTTGGCTCTGTGCTCAGACCACTTGCCTCTGCATAGCTTAGTTTGGGTCAGTTTCTGTCCATGTACTCTTCAAGGCGCAAAAGCCACTTATTCCAGTACTGAGAGCACAGATTGGGATCCATGAAATGCGGATGCGCAGGGGAGCCATTCTTATAGGCAACCACAATGAGTCCACAGCTAACCTACAGTTAA